GCATCTGTGGGCATTCAGTCCAGCAATTGGTTTTCATATAGGTGCGTCCCAGGAAGATTGGGCCTTGTTTCATGCAGATAAACGCGTGTAAACAAATGTCCATTTAAAATGCAGGAGAAATTGATCTGAGAAGTAAAAAGTTTGTTTATACTCTCTAAATCGATTTCTCCTGCATTTTAAATTCTCAAAGGTGGACCACTTAATGAGAAGTCATAGAATTAACTTTGGAACATATAAAATGCACTGCAATAAGGCAGTGTTTACATTAAAAAAAAAAAAGGTGTGGAAAAAGCTATTGTCAGACACCACTTACATTATTAAAATATTGGGCTAATAAGTTATTGCAGGGCCACCAGAATCAGGCCCTGTAGAAATTACTTTACCTGAAAGCCACCAAACCATAAACAATGGGGTCTCCAATTCTAAGCAAAGGGCCAGTTTACGGTCCTTCAGACTTTATGGGGGCCAGACTGTAGCCAGTGGGGGTAGAAAAAATCCCCTGGAATCAGTGCCCCATCTTTGGTTTTAATAGGAGGAATAGTGCCCTATTGTTGATATCAGTGAAAGGAATAGTTCCCCGCTGATGGTGTCAGTAGGGGGAATGGTGCTCCATCATTGTTGACAGTTATCGGTATAGTGCCCCAAGGGCCTGATGAAAGCAAACAGAGGGCCACATCCAGCCTCCAGGCCGCAGTTTGGAGACCACTGTATTAAAGGATAAGGGGGGTAAAGTGGGGTGCTGCATTAGTAACATGCTACACCAAAATACAGGTGTAACATGTTACTAAAGGTAAACTTCGCCTTTAATAAGAATATCAATATTGAATGGCAACTTAATTGTAATAGGAACATCACCAGCCTACTACTCTGAAAAAATGTCACAACTTTGATTTTTTTTTAGCACCAAAGCAAAGAAAGACTCAAGCAGAAAGAGTAATCCTTCACTTCAAAGCAAAACAGTCTTCAGACAAGTATCTATTGTTACTGCAAAACAAACCAAATCAGAGAGAACCATTGAGGTTGAACCTCTTATTATACAGAAGTCCGTGAACTCCCACCATCTGGCTAAACAGTGGAGCTTTGACTGTTCAAGGTCTGAAGCTTCTGAGAGTGCTCTGAACAAATCAAGTAGGGATTAAGTAGCTTACCAGTGTGGTCACAATGCGGAAACCACAGTGCTGAATAAGATGAGCGGCAGAAGTACTGTGTGCTGAAGGCAGTTTATTACTCCAAAAAAGGATTAAAGCTGCCCATCTACTGCATTATTCTCAGCGGGTGAGCCAACAATTCTTAAGAGTAGATGAGGTCTGCTGGAAATTTTTCAAACAGTGATTGCATCCAATCAGAGTGGCTGCTTGGGGCCAGCTGTCAAAATAAATATATCAGCAGTGGGAGACTCATTCACCCACACTGTACAGGGTGGACGGAAGAATCTGTCCAGCTCAGAGGCTGATCGAAAAACAAAACTATCAGTGTATGCCCAGCTTAAGGCTCCATGCACACTAGCGCTTTTCTAAGCTCCTAGAAGCTATTAACAGCATATTTTGTTTTCTGCTCCTAGAAGCTAAATGTTATCCTTTGTGTCCATGAGCACTACTTTAGGCCATTAGCATTTTTGAAGCTTCAGCGTCTAGGAGCAGAAAAAAATTGTTTTTGTAGAGTTATTTGGAGTGTTTTTCCAGCAGGAAAAAAAAGCTCTCTTTTTCCGCTCTATAAGTACTGTAAAAACGCTAATAAAATAAAAAAAAAAAAAACGATATTATTTGTTACTTTTTGCTATTAAACATGGCCAGTGAAAAGAAAAAAAAAAATCAAATTTCGTCATGTATTCTGCTACGTCTTTGCTAAAAAAAAAAAAAAAAAAAAAAAATCCCAATACGTGTAAATTAATTGGTTTACATGAATGTTATAGCATTTACAATGGGCAGTATATATACTGGAATGTTTTGTTTTTTACTAGTAATGGCACCGATCAGTGACTTATAGCGGGACTGCGGTGGGCATTCTAACATTGGGGGAAATGACTTGGTGTCACGGACATCCCCAGTGATCAGTGCTAATAAAAAAGCACTGACACTGTACGAATGACACTAGGCAGGAATGGGTTAACATGTGGGGCGATCAAAGGGTTAACTGTGTTAACTGTTTTACTGTGTGCTTATATTATGCAGAGCCATACAGTGTGCAGGATCTGACAGGGGAGAAATACGTATTGTTTACATACAGAGATCTCTCCCCTGTCAGTAATACTCGGGAGATCGCTGGGTGCCGGCAGGTAATCACCAGTCGGGACACAGCGATTGACAGCCGAGGCCAGCGAATGGTGCGTGCCCCCTAACCGGAACTGCAAAATCACGTATATATACACACACGCGTGATTTTGTGCACTTGTGCCGCCTTGTAGCAGCATTTCTGCTATAGGGCGGCGCAGAAGCGGTTAAGGACTTAAATTCTACTTTGCCATTAGATAATAGTATGCTGATTTCAACAACACTATTCATTAAAGCTAAAACATATTGAAACCTGGCATGTTAAATCCTTAAGACTTGCAAATGCCTTACATGCCAATGTAAGTATATTTGGTTGGGAATTTTATTATGTACCAAACATGCACATATCCTAAAACCTGCTCTTGTATTACCATCATAAATTACTAGAACACAGAGCAAGTTTTTTTTGGTAACACTAATTGTTTCTTAGCCAACTTGGTTAGACACTGAACAATTACATAAAATAGTAAAGGGTATTTTCCTAATTAGAAGGGGGACCTCTCCCTGGTATGCATTCCGCAGAGAGAGACTCACCACAAGTTGAGCATTTTCACGCAGCTACAGAATGTTAAAAGACAGAGAGAGAGAGAAAGAGAGAAGAATTAATACACCCAAGAGACACTAGGGAGAGGATGAGGGTGCAGCCATGCAGACAACATGCCTTGCAGGTCACAGGAAAGGAGAGGACATTAAGGTCAGGAGAGGTTGCGACTGTCCAGACACTTAGAAAAAAAATCAACTCATTTCACACAATCTTCAATTTTTGTCATAAAAAAGGGGATTTCTATATAAACCTAAAATCTGTTCAAACATCCTCAAGTCTAATTATGGCAGATTGTTGGGAATGCTTTCCTGGGACCTGAATCATTGTATATTATGTGGTATTTCAAGGCCTTTTACATCGTGGGCTCACATCAGTGTAACATTAACAGGAAACAGAGCATCCATAAGTGAGGCCAGGCAAATGAAACAAGGTCCCCAATGTTTCCCTCCACTACGGCCAACTACTGCGAGACTTCTGCAATATCATACTGGTAAGCCCACTGCAGGGCTCTCTAAGTAGAAACAAGCAATGAAAGTAGACCTGATTGGCTGATCTAAGGCTTATTGAGCTCTGTTCTTGTTTTACCTCTTAAATATTAAGTTCACAGGGCTTGTAAGAGCTAGCTAGAACTAAAAACTCGCTATTATTCTTGCTTTTTTCCTGTGAAGAAGAGGCAAGTAGCAAAAAAGTGTCAAATTAGAATATTGGCTATATCCTAAAATTTACATCTTATGTTTCGCTGGCCCTGATGTCTCTCAACACCTTAAATATAGACTTAAAAGTGGTTGTAAAGCCTTACACATACCCAATGAAGTGACTAGCTTCAGGTGATACATAGATGAGCTCTCTCTTCTCTATAGCTCTTCAAAGTCCAGAATATATAAAGCTTGTCTAGCCTTTCAGAAAGCAGGGGGTGGGGAGCTTAAGTTGCACTCTGCAGAGCTCAGTAACAGCGGATTGGAAGGAAGGAATACACCCCCTTAACACAGCACACAGGAACAGCGCTGATGCTGTCAATCACAGCCTATGTGCTGGAGCTCCCTCCCCCTTTTTTTTTTTACCATCAGGAAAACTTGTCAAAAGTAGTGACACATGCTTATACCAGAGGAATCGGGCAACAGAGAGAATCACACTTAGTGCTCTGGATTGAGCCAAGTACACACTATAGAGGGATATGCTTTGCTCATATTTCATAACTGAGGTTTACAACCACTTTAATTCTACTAATATAAGGCACATGCTAAATTTCCTGTAGGTAGAAGACTTTGATATCATAATGATCAATGGCAACAGAATTTAAAAAAAAGATTTTCCACAAAATTGCCAACATGCCAAGATTTCAGCCTTCTAACTCTGAAGCCAATAGCAGATACAACCTAGAATAGTAATTACAAAAATTCTCAGCAGAACTTTGACTCTGTGATAACACAGAAGCACCCCAACCATAGTAATTTACTTGAAAGAAGCAGAACATTAATTGCATTGCTTCGTTCACCTATGAAGACCAGTGACCTATAGATTTCCCATTACTAATAAAAGCACCACTATATTGATATAATAAACTAGAATCTACAGTACTAGCTACAGCCTTGGAGAGCCATGCCAAGTTCTGACATTAGGTAGGATGTATCCTGAGCCCAATCATAGGGAAAAAAAAAAATTTCAGTGCTAAGAGTGAACTTTTCTTTAACTGCGTTTTTTCCAAATGACACAAAATAAATACAGCCAAACGTAGCACATCAATTTAAAGGTTTTGAAGTTAAAACAGATTAGATATACTGGAAATAGTTATATCTCTTCCATCTTCGACACACACCAGGGACTGATAGTGTAGGCATTATATTACAACCTGGTATGCATGAAGTATACAATGTAATCTGTACAGGCCTGAAAATACCACCCACCTATAAAGATGGCAAGCTTTGTTTTACAAGGGATGATATGATTCAGTGTGGTGACTTTCTGAAAAGGACAGCTGTGTAGTCTGCATCCTCTAGAAAATTGAGCGACCGCATGCAAAAGCGGCTGCAATTAAGGATGTGGCTGTATACATTAGGAGTGTTTATTAAAAAAAATAATAAGGGCAGATGGTGGCAAACAGAAAGGAAGATGAGGCACATGGTAAAGGTACCAATGGAGACACGTGCAAGCGTAGCAGACTATGTTGTAATGTAGATGGCACATACTTAGCTTCCTCCACAACCTCCACCTCGGCCTGCGCTGTGATCGGTGCGTTGGAGTGACCTCCTGTTTGGTCATCAGCATTCAGCTGCCCGTTTGTTGAACTCATAACCTGTTCCACAAATTAATAGAACAAAAATACAGGTGACTCAGATACATAAGGCAAGTGGCCAAACGCATAATTTTGCATCTAGAAACATGTTGCTAGCAGTTTATGAACCAATACCCTTTTACAGTTAGATTTACAATATTACAGATTTTTATCACCTTATAATGTAATAGGTTTTCCCCAGGATGCTACTAGTAAATGCAATAAGATACAAGACTATTTCCTGAACCTGGCGGTTTGCTGATGCAGACCAAACCCAGTTTTGCATTAAAAGTGGCCCTGCAAGCAGCACATACCTCTTTTTGTTCCCCCATACATTTTCTGGTTGTTTGCTGGAAGCATTGCTTGATGCTTCAGGGTGTTAGAAATCAAATGAATCATATCCCACACGAAAGCACTTGAACTTGTCGACTGGCCACTCAGGAAGCCAGCGCTATCACATGGAAGCATGGATGGAGTACTCAGTTCTGCCTGAGCTGCAAGTTATAACATGGAGCTCACAGAGGGCTTCAGCTATTTGCCTCCAGTGATTAGAAGGGGGTAGGTAGTGAAGGTTTGTATGTGCAGTGGGTGCTGTCGACACTAAATTGAACCTGTTGATCTGCCTGGCATGGGTCCACTTTAAGATCAGACTGGCACATTATGTTCCATGGACTGTTTAAGGTACATATTTGCCAAATATTACACTTGCACACTTACATGGTGGTGTACTATTTTTCTATAAGAAGCTGCAAGCTTCCACACCTATTACACTACATATGGACTGTGTAATATTGACCAATGAAATTTTATTAAACTGTAAAATCACAATTTTTAGCCAATGTATCACAGTCAATGATGTCAGAAAAGTACAATTTAAACAAATATCTGCCCGAGTGAAATTCAAAGCATGCATTTCATATGCAAAGCTGCAAAATCCATGTCACCATGGTATGTAATGGTAACTGCTCAACTCCTTCAGACAGCATTTAGCTCTTTGAGAACTGCCATCTACAATACTTGTGTGACTGGAGTGAAATACAATTGCTGATGCCAGTCAGTTCAGCATAGAGTAAGAACAGTGATTTTTCATTAACAAAACAGCAAGGGACAACCTGTCAGTGTCCTTTAAGAGGGCACAAACACAAAGACTCATGGTCAAAGTATTAACCGGTTCCCCGCTGCCCTATAGCAGAACTACTGCTACAGGGCAGCAGGGCTGTGCAAAATCACGCATGTATACGTGATTTTGCATTTCTGGGTAGGGGACACGTGTGTGCCTCCCTTGGTGGCTACAGCTGTCAATCACCGTGTTCCGGCCGGAGATTCCCCGCCGACACCCAGCGATCGCCGAGGAACAGTGACGGGGAGAGGTCTGTGTGCAAAACACAGATCTCTCCCCTGTCAGCACAGACATGCTGCTTTGTATTACTCTGCATAGCAGAGCAATACAAAGCAGTATGTTTCCCTAAGAAAACACACACAGCACACATAGTAAAACAGCACACAGTTAACCCTTTCATCGCCCCAGATGATAACTCCTTCCTGCCCAGTGCCATTAGTACAGTGTCAGTGCTTTTATTAACACTGATCACTGTATTAGTGTCACTGGGGATGTCAATAGCAGTTAGTCCGTTCCCCCCCAGTGTCAGAATACCCGTCGCAGTCCTGCTATAAGTCGTTGATCGCTGCCATTACTAGTATATAAAAATAAATAAAATTCCAGTATATATACCACCATTTGTAGACGCTATAACTTTCACGTAAACCAATTAATTTGCATGTATTGGGATTTTTTTTTTTTTTTTTTTAGCAAAGACGTCGCAGAATACATTTTGGCCTAAATTTACGACTAAATTTGATTTTTAAAATTTTTTTGCTGGATATATTTTCTAGCAAAACGTAAAAAATATAGTTTTTTTTCCCCCAAAATTGTTTTTCATTTTTTGCGCTATAAACAAAAAAAGACTAACGCAGAGGCAATCAAATACCACCGAAAGAAAGCTCTAATTGTGGGGGAAAAAAGGACAAATTTAATTTGGGTGCAACATTGCATGACCGCACAATTGTCAGTTAAATTAACAGCGCCGTATCACGAAAAAAAAAAAGGACATTGACAGGAAGGGGGGGTAAATCCTCTGGACGGCAAGTGGTTAATGTGTATCTAAACCCAAAATACAAATAAAAAAGTTATGTTGCAGATCACCAGCCCTTTAATGTAGTGGCTGCATTACTTTTTTCCAGCTGCAAAATTACACACTTCTTGTTCCTGGTTGGCTATGTTGACTCCTCCACTGTATCTATGGATGTAGCCAAGGTTGGCACCCAGGCTAAACTTCTAAAATGTGTGCACTTGTTAAATTACATGGGAGAAGGCGTATTGAAATTACTATTTAATCATTTTGGTTTTGGCTCCAGTTCACCTCCCATCACAAGGACACCCCCATTTATGGCAAAATCAACAGGTATTTTCAGCAGTCGCTAAAAATGTTCTAAGTCTGAAAAAAGGAAAAACAAATGCAGCCACCATATCTAATGACTGTTAAACTGCAACAGATTACATTTTTGTTCTTGCATTTAGTTATCCTTTAACCAATAGGTAATTTGAGAATCTTGAAAACTATTTTACTGAATAAATCAGCTTCACCACACCAAGCAAACTTAGTATATGATAGAAGAGCTTCAACAGATACTTAGTATAAGCTGGATGCAGCTCTTGAAGCTGTTCTATCATATACTATGTAAATTAACTACCCTGAAAACTGTACACAGTATTCAGCAAGACAGTCCTTCCTATTATTACCCAAAATCCATTAACTTACATATGCTCTCCAGCAACAGGTATTAAAATGTATTCTCTGGCATATATTTTTTCCCTTCATATCGAGTTGTTTCTGTTGCCCTATCTTTGAGCAACAGAACAGCTCACCTGATCTCTAAACTGTGATCAAAGCTATTGATCTCAGGGCAAGAAAAATATTAAAGTGGAATGCCTGCTTAACCCCAACTACTCCTAAAATTGTCACCACTGCCCTCCTAACACCTATGCTTACTAACCTGTGTAGGAAAGATGTACATACTTACCTATTTTCAGCTATCTCCGGTCCAGTAACGTACTCTCTTCTGTGTCAGCTAGTGGCAGCTGCAGGGGGAGAGGACAGAGTGCTCCAACCATGACTAGTAAAGGCTGGAGCAGTGATGTCAGACTTGCATGGCCCATCTGTTGCTTGTGTTCCCTCCTCGCTCCTGAAGCTGTGCTGGCTGACACAGGGGAGTTGAGTCATGTGACCTGACCAGAGCAGCTTGAAAATAGTTGTGCTCGTATATATCATTCTTACACAGGTTAGTGAACATGGGTGTTAGGAGAGGGGAGGGGACAGTTTTAAAAGAAGTTTGTGTTAAGCTGGAATTACACTTCAAATATAGTCAGGTAAATGGAATTGGTTAAAGACAGCAGAAAGATTTAGAAGTAAAATTGATTGCACATAAGTGAAATAAGGACATATGCAAAACAAGTTACAGGAATTAAATGCACTAACAGGTTATTAAATATTGGCTGAACAAGAAACCCAACATGCTCCAATACCTGCACGGATCCCCCAAGCCGGTCTGATGCCAGGTGAGGTGGCAGGTAAGCGGGGTGAGCCTGTCGGCTGGCTTGTAACTCCCAAGCTCCTCGGCGGTCTGGGGCGCCCGTCTGCGCAGAGGCGTTAGGAAGCATGCGATTGCAAGGTGTAGAGGACAGGGGTGTTTGGGGAGAAGGAGGTCAGCCAGGCCAAAGCAATGGAAACAGATCACTGTGTTAGTGGAGGTGAGTAGAAAGCCAAGCTATGACTGCGTGCTGCAAGCAAAACAAAATACTCAAGGCCTTCTTTTTGCTGGAAAAAGCAGATTGTGTACATCGTGCTTTTACTCCAGCAAAAGAGGGCTGGTAAAGCAGTGCAAGCAAGATCTAACACATTAAAGAAACGGACCCTTCATGTTATGCATTCATTTCACAATACTCCAAAGCATCAGTCCAAATGCAATACTACTTTGTTATAAACAAAATTGAAAAAAACAACAAAATCAGGCAAAAACTAAGTGAGAAGTCTGTTCAGAGGAAGATAATCTTTACATTAGAATTTCCACAGATTATTTTCATAAACACGTAGATTTAAAAAAAAAAAAAAATCAAGGTCCTCATCAAATCTAGAGAATGTTACATTTTCAGAGTCTGAGGTTATAATATAACTAAAAAGCAAAACTTTTTCTTTTAGTGTTGGATACAGCAGTTTAGGACTATAATCACAGGCAGGTTTTTATTGTTATGTCCCCAATTAGGGAGATTTACTCCTTTCTGTATGTCCGGTTTGCCATCATCACCGAGGGTGAAAGAAAACACGAAATGTTGGGTTGTCAACAAAAACGGGAGAGAGGGGATATCTTCTGATGAGGACACTAGTTCTGGTGAGAACCAGGTATTCCCTCACCTAGCATGGATTTCCTCCAACTTCCTGTTTTGGCTATGGGACAAGAAGTGAAGGGAATTCTCCCCATAGGACACAGATGGCAAACAACCTGACAAGGGTTATAACCCTCCCTTACTCTATCCAAAATCAAAAACATTTTGCCTGTAGTTCTACTTCAAATAAATATCATGTGATTTTGAAAAGCTAACATTAGGGAAAAATTCATTCATTCACTGCTCAGCTGTCTATCTCAGGAGCACTTCTGATTATTTTGGTTGCTACAGGTTTTTTTTTTTTTTTTTTTGTAAAAACCAAAACTCAACTGACACTAGGGAAGCATGTGAGCGCAAAGTGGATGTATGCCACAGGGTGGGAGCTAAGGTACGATAGCCCTTTAAAAGCCTCATGCAGACAGGCTTATTAAAATAAGCAGCATTGTTTCTGCCAAAATTTGGAAGAAAAAAAATCTCTAATGTTACATTACGAATGCAAGCTAATGGTATTTATGGCCAGTATATTAATTTATTCTAGAATAACCACTGGAATACATTTACACGCATATGCAAGCGTTTA